TGGATTGCTCCCCTTGGACAGATTTGATAGTTTAGACTTTAGACTTTACACATACAGTGACATACAGGATACTGTAGAGGATAGATCGATAGACAGATGGATAAGGTAAGATAAGATAAGATAAGATGAAATAAGATAAGATAAGGTAAGAGAGGAGAAGATAAATAAGAAAAGAACAGATAAGATAAAATAAGATGAGATAGACAGACAGGCAGATGGACGGACGGACAGGCAGAGAGACAGAAAGACAGACAGATAGACAGACAGACATTGAACACTATATTGCACGCACAATTGCAATCATTCATTCCTTTCCTTTTGACACCTTCATGTTTCGGAGAATCTTTGGAATCCCGAACCAACCTGCTTTCCTTGTTTCCCTTGGGACCCTGGTGGTTCACTTTAACGCACATGTTGGTCCAGCGCTGACCCAAAGTCACAGCTGACCATGAGCAATGTGCGACCTGACTTTGTGACAGCCCTCTTCTTTTTGTGTGTTATAAAGGAAGAATGTGAATCCGCAGCACCTTGACACCAAAAACGGATCATGATAGGTTCTACTGTGAGGCAACCTGCTAAGACGCTTGAGCAACCTGCATGAAAGTTCCTCCCTGAGAAGTCTAAGGGTCAAAAGACTCTTGGCGTATCTTGGGGCCAAGAAATTTCCGAAACTGAAACCTATGACAGTAAGGAAGTGAAGAAAGAAGGGAAATGAAGACAGTAGGGAAAGGAGTTTTTTTTAAGTTTTTTTTTTCTCCGTTTTGTTTTTTATCTTGGATTTCTGTTTCCCTATTTCTTTGCTTGTCTGCTTCTCCAAGATTTCTGCTTTTCTGTTTCTCTGCTTTCCCTGCTTCTTTGCTCCTTTGCTTTCCCTGCTTCTTTGCTTCTCTGCTTTTCTGCTTCTTTGCTGTTCTGCTTCTCCGCTTTTCTGCTTCTCTGCGTTCCTGGTTTTTTTTGCTTCTTCAGCCTAAACAATCCTTTAGACACATTATATAAATAAAACCCTAAACCAATCTTAAACAGACCCCAACATAAACCAAAAGTAAACTAAGATAGCCCTAAGTAACCCTAAATAAATGTGAAAAATTGCCCCGTAAAAGTCTTAAACCAACCCTAAATGGATCTCAAGCCAAGCCTAAATAAACCCTGAGCCAAGCCTAAATAGACCTTAAACAAACTTCACATAGATCTCAAACAGACTCTAAATACATTTTAAACCAGACCCAAGCAAACCCTAAACCAACCCTAAGCCAACCCTAAAACCAACCCAGAATATCTGAACCCAACCAAACAAAAACTAAATCAACCCCAAAACCAAACCTAAGCCAACCCTATATGAATCGTAGTTGCAAAAAACCATGCGACATGAACAGTCCGAGCACCAAAATGTTGCAAATACTAGGGAAAATGAAAGGTTCGAACTCCAAAATGTTGCGCAAAATACAAGTGAAATGGCAGCTTCCAGCTCCAAAATTCTACAAATAGCAAGGGAAACGGACAGGACAGGAGATCCCCAAAAAATCCCAAAACGGGTTAAAAAACAAAATTATCCCGGCAAGAGTGTGGGGAAGTTGGACAACGGGATACTGTAACGCATTTTAATGTTGATGATAATGATGCTGTTGATGATGGTGATGTTGATGATGATGGTGAAGATAAAGATATCTTGCGGACGACGAGACAAGACAGGCAGAACAAAGCGACACGGGACCAGGACTTCTGACTGCGTGTGCATTCACTGTTACCCCCGGATACAGCAACAACTGCGGACATCTGCGGAGAACTTGTTTTAACTGCGGACAGCGGAGCGCGGTCAATGATGACGGTGCCAAGGTAACGATCGACAACGGAGCGCGCAACTGCAGCTATAATAGATGGACAGATAGACAGACTGACAGATAGATGGTAGGATAGGATAGGATAGGATAGGATAGGATGGGATAGGTTGCGCCCCTAATACAGTTTATATTGACATGCAGGATAGAAAGAAAGAGAGGATCATGTTGCCTTGGGCGAGACTATAGTGAATCAGGTCAGATCTTGTCATGTAAATTGGATCCATAAAAGAGTAAGAGTAAATAGATGGGTTGATTCTGTAGCATGAGCATCGAACAACCGAAGGCCAACACGTTTTCGGCTCACAGCACGGACAAGTAGCTGTGTTGCACAAAGTGTTTGCACAATATCAGATGAAACCATATATAGTTATTGTGTGATTACTTAGGGACAGAGACAGACACTCCAACAAACTTCAAGTTATAAACAGCAGCGTGTTCCTTTCAGTGCAGATGAACAACCATCATTAGGATTTGTTTGAACACCATTGCGTTAAGTGCAAAAGAAACATTCCCTTTGTCCTGACACATTCACGTTTCGGAGCTTTGGAATCCCGTTTTCCTGATTCCACATGTTGCGCAATGAGCGAGGCCATGTAGCCATGGAGACATTGTGGATGGACCTCGGAGGTTCGCTTTGACCCACGTTTTAACAAAAGTGCTTGGAACTACCGTCGAGCACAGCGTGAGCGATGACCATGCGATGCATCCCGGCACGTAGAGGCAAGCCAAAGTCACAGCTGGCCAGGCTGGCCATGAACAATCTGCGGCCTCACTTTTTGGAGTGTGAAGAAATGAGTGACAACCTGTTTCTTTTTGCGTTTGAAGGAATGTGAATTTGCAACACCTTGAGACCAAAAACGGATAGATCTGACATGAGGCAGCCGGTTGGAACCGTTGAACATATGCAGGTTCGGCATGCATGTCGAGCCAGTAGCAGGATCAGCTAACTGCGTGGTTTCAGGTGATCCGAAGCCAGATGGCACTGACTTGCACAGCAGGCGAACAAGCGGGCAAAATCTGCGAAAGTTTTTGCCTGAGAAGTCTGAGGGTCAAAACACTCTTGGCATCTCTTAGAGTGACGAGGTTCTCGAAGCTGAAACCTGCAAAAACCCAAACTCAGAAGTTGTGAAATGTCTGAGCGATGCTTGGCGTTGGAAATTTCCGAGCAGATGCCCGCAGTTGACCGCCATGTCCGTAATGAAATATGGTCTTGATGTCTGTGGTTTTCAACGGGTCTTGGCCGGTCCCCATTTCAGAACTCGTTTTCGCTTCCTCGCCTCTCAGCCACGAACTCGTGGCCACAAGAGTAAGTAACCTTGGCCCAGAGACCAGAGACAACGAGGCTTCGATTGAGGCGAATCATTTGGCTGTCGTGAAACCACAATATGACTCAAGTGCAGCACGTTGGCTTGTGGTTGCTTAAAGAGCCCAAAGTTTGGCTAGAGGAGGTAGATCTTGCAAAAGGCAGCCGTTTGGGAACATGGACATTCAACCATTAGCACGCCCACGCCGACTCAGAGACAGCATTGCTGGTTTCGTGACAGCACACGGTTTGCTTTTCAGTGCAGACAGGTCAAGATCTTGAAATTCCTTAGGGGTTCTCAAGTTGGACAGCTGAAGTAGGCAGATCTTGCAGCAGCATTTTTGCAGGAGCATTGATTGATATGTGCTGGAAGAAACAACATGACGTACAACCCAATCTAGGCCACCATGGATCGGCCCTACCTTCTCTAAAGCCTTTCAAATTTTCATCTACAGTGGGTGCTGCATGCCAGCAATTGCTTGGCGGTGATAATGACAGATCTTACATGAGGCAACCAGTTTTGGCAGTCAAATCGATGCTCGTTCAGCACGCAAATCGAGGCGTAGGCAAAAAAACGTGAAAGTTATTTCCTGAGAAGTCTGAGGGTCAAAACACTCTTGGCATCTCCTGGGGTCAAGAGGTTTTGGAAGCCTGCAACAGTCAAAACTCAAAAAGTTGTGAAATGTCTGAGCCATGCTGCATCATGCTTGGTGTTGGATACTTCTGAGCAGACTCCCAGCCAGTTGGCCGGAATGTCCGGTTAGTGACTCAGCCGTACACGCGAAAGTTGACTCAGCCATACACGCGGAATTTGACTCGGCTGTACACGCGAAATCAACTCAGCCATACACGCGAACTCAGCTCAGCCATACACGCGAAGTGTATCTCAGCCATACACGCGACAAGACAATGTTTTGGCCATAGCTTCGATGAGCACATGTTTGCAGTGTGTTACAATTACAATATGAGCAGATGATTGAGTGCATGCATGTTCGGCGCTAGGGAGCTGTCGTTCATGTGCGCGCAGATGTCATGCTAGCGTTACAGGAGTTTATCTTGCACTTGGCAATGTACTTAGACTTGTTGTATCATAGTAGATCGTATGTTTCACATGCGTAGGTACTGCTGCATGAGCCAAAGCTTTTATTACCTACGCGAAGAGAAGATGACTTTGATGTGCGCACGCGTACTAGAAGTAATGCATAGGCAGAGCACTTGTAGGTAGCGACCGCGTGCGTGCAACAGTATGACGTCTTATCTGGCAACTGTAGAACGCGTGCACATACTCCTGCTACTGTATGTGCACTACCTTGCAAGAGTTGTATTAGTGTAGGCAAATCGTTGAGATATGTTGAGATAACATATTTTCAGGGTGCACTGCTTCCGATGACAGGCGATCAAGGTGCAGTGCTTTTGTGTGTGCAGAGGAACATGAACGCTTTCATCCCCCCCCGCCCCTGCCCAAGACTATGTTCAGGGTGCACATGGGCAGATGACAGGCAATGAAGGTGCAGTGCAGGGCGCGATGCTGCAGGGTGTCTTACTGGCTAGTGTGTGGCTCAGGCCTATGTGTGTGTATGGCTGAGTCCGTTTTGTGTGCGCAGATGAGTTGTATCTGTGTGGGTGACGGAGTTAGATCTGTGTGTGTGGCTGAGTTAGATCTGTGTGCGTGGCTGAGTTGGATCTGTGTGCGTGGCTGAGTTTTGGCTGTGTGCGCCGCTGAGTTGGATCTGTGTGCGTGGCTGAGTCGTTTACCTCTGCCTTGATGAAATCTGAGTCTGGACATGTTTGACATCAAAAGTGGCACGCTGCACTGCGGCCATTGAACTTCGTTAGGCCATGAGACCAAGTTTCGTGTTTTCGCGTCTCGACAACGAAGGTGTGAACCCCAACTGGCTGTTTTGGCGCGCAGACCAAGGCTGCATCGCAAGCTGCTGCCGGTAGCCCTGTTTTCTTCCAGAAGGCTTCAAGTCTACCAACCAAATGTAGACACGGGCTGCAACTCGCGAGTACGTACCGGCCAGTGCCAAATGGTCCCCAAAGCCGGCTGCAACGGGTAGATCTTGCAGACAGAAAATGGAGCCGTTAGCACTGCCTTCATCGTGCCCTGCTCGGCGATTTCTGAGAAGACAGTGGGCACATCATGGCACACCTATAGCAGGCAAGCAACCATGTGCATACAGAGGGACTCCAAGTAAGACAACCTTCTGTTGGTTTGGCAGGAAGAATGCCTTCGGAACTTTTGAGAAGGGAGCGCAAGCAGAGTCCAGAGCCACAAGCGCTGTAGTCATCCTTGCTCATCACGTCGCTTTGGACGGTCCGAAACCATTTTCTGTGGAGAATGGCGGATCCAGCTCACATGCAACTATATGTGGAACGGTTAAGATAGCATTGGCATAGTCAGTTGTAGTTTTGATGATTAGCACCTCTGCATTTGCTGCGAGCCTGCAATTCAATTTAGACAAGTGAAGGCGTGCTTATGCTTCCAGAACAAGCTCTGAAATTGACAGCTGCGCCATATCAGATATTGCAGAAGAGAAAGAGTTGTGAGCTTTCATACGCGGTTGCAGCATGTAAATCGAACCACGGCACGACGGTTGAAGCTGTAGATGCTCCAGAGCCACTTTCTCGGAGAAACCAGTTCACACTTGCTGCAGGCAGTCGACCGAATGTACGCGCTAACTCAGAGGTTGGATTTAGTGGCGACACGGCAATTTTGCAGGTGCTGGACAGAACAGCATGGCTTGCCAACCAAGCCAGGCGAGTATGGACCGGCTTGCCTGTCACTTCTGTAAAGCTCCTCCCAATCTACACAGCTAGAGTGCGGAGATTTCACACGAGCAATGCATTTGGAATGCTTGAGAAGACTATACATAGAGTCTAGAGAGTCTACAGAAGCCAACATCCGAGCTCACCGCCAGGGGGCAAGCTCACAATGCCATGTCTGCTTTTGTAAATGCCATTTTTCTGGGAACTGATTCTTACCACCTAGCTTCGCTTGTGACGCAAAGTTGTTTGGTTCGAACAGGATCGGCCAAAGGAGAATCAATTTGCCGCGTCACAGAAACAGGATTACTTGACCAACTGGTCCATGCAGTCCAACCGCATTCTTGGAAGTATTGGAACGGTATACAATGTATACAACATAGCATGGAACAATCTCTTTGTGACTCATGATTGAAGAACATGTGTTTGCTACAAACAACTTGTTGCAGTGCGAAGCCCATCCTTGTGACAACCAGTCATACCGAGTCATACCCCAGAAAAAATCGTTGCAAAGTAAATGTCGTTGATGGGAGAAACTACAACGCTACAGTCACTACCTATTGGAACATAACCCTCTAAGTCCACGCTGCTATTCCTTCGGGCGCAGATGCCATCTTGAGATGCACGGGGTCGCTCAGATACAATTGGAAACCTGTGTTCAAAGAGGAAACAAAATAAAATTTGCATGTCGCTCCCTGTGATTGAATTGGTGTATTTGTACCATTTGGTACCCAGTATGGTGGGCATATCCACCAAAAATATCATAAAATATCGTCTATATCTAAATCTACATCCAAAACTACTGGAAATTTGCCGAACAGAAACGAATGGTGGCCACCTTCCAGGATTCACACATTCTGGAGAGATACAGCTAATGGGTTCGAGAGCGAATGTTTTGTTTGGGTGTTTGTTGGTGACACTATCTCTCTTAAAACATAATTTCAATTTCTTGCCGATGAAATCTCCCATTCTTTCTTGTTAAAACAATTTTTTATCTGCAGTTGAAAAGTTGGCACAAAGCCGGAACACCTGCTTTTCGAACCGGAACGCCTGCTTTTTGGAAATCCCCAAACATTAAACATGTCTTTGAAATTGAGAACGGAACCCTTCCACATCTTCCCACCATTCTCCTTGAGGCCTATCCCCGGCTGCCCTCGGCAGCCTTCCCGAAGGCTCCGCAACAAGGCGGCAACTGGCCGGGGTCTCTTGGCGGAAACTGGCAAGGAATTTGAAGCATCAAACATTGGAATTTGGACTATACAGTAAAGAAAACAATATTGGTATTATTGGTATTATTGGTATTATTGGTGTTGGTGTTGGTGTTGGTGTTGTTGTTGTTGTTGTTGTTGTTGTTGTTGTTGTTGGAGATGGTTAGATATGAATGGGGGGTAAAATGCTGAGGTACGCGCCTCGCATTTGACCCTACCCCAATGGTTTCGCATATGACCCTACCCCCCTTTTGGGGTAGGGTCGAATGTGAGAAAGTAGCGTTTTTAGCTGCGAAAAGAGGGTTCCGGATATGATGATGATGATGATGATGATGACGATGATGATGATGATGGTGATGATGGTGATGGTGATGGTGATGATGATGATGATGATGATGATGATGATGATGATGATGATGATGATGATGACGGTGGACGATCATGATGATGGTGATGATGATGATGATGATCATGATGACGGTGATGATGGTGGTGATGATGATGGCGACGACTTTGATGATGACGGATGATCGTGATGATTGTGATGATGATGATGATGATGATGATGATGATGATGATGATGATGATGATGATGATGATGATGATGACAATGAATGTAATTGTTCAAGGGGGGCTGGTTGATTTGATAGCAATGAATGTAATGGTTCAAGGGGGGCTGGTTGATTTGATACCAATGAATCTAATTGTGCCAGGGGGGCTGGTTGATTTGATACCAGTGAATGGAATTATTCAAGGGGGGGCTGGTTGATTTGATAGCAATGAATGTAATTGTTCAAGGGGGGCTGGTTGATTTGATACCAATGAATGTAATGGTTCAAGGGGGGCTGGTTGATTTGATACCAATGAATGTAATGGTTCAAGGGGGGCTGGTTGATTTGATACCAATGAATGTAATGGTTCAAGGGGGGCTGGTTGATTTGATACCAATGAATGTAATGTTCAAGGGGGGCTGGTTGATTTGATAGCAATGAATGTCATGGTTCAAGGGGGGCTGGTTGATTTGATACCAATGAATGTAATGGTTCAAGGGGGGCTGGTTGATTTGATAGCAATGAATGTAATGGTTCAAGGGGGGCTGGTTGATTTGATAGCAATGAATGTAATTGTTCAATGGGGGCTGGTTGATTTGATAGCAATGAATGTAATTGTGCCAGGGGGGCTGGTTGATTTGATAGCAATGAATGTAATTGTTCAAGGGGGGCTGGTTGATTTGATAGCAATGAATGTAATTGTTCAAGGGGGGCTGGTTGATTTGATACCAATGAATGTAATGGTTCAAGGGGGGCTGGTTGATTTGATACCAATGAATGTAGTTGTGCAAGGGGGGCTGGTTGATTTGATAGCAATGAATGTAATTTTGTTTGGTTTGAGGCAGGTTAAAGTGGGGTAGGGTCAAATGTGAACCGGAAAAAGTGGCCTTTTTTCCTGGAAGGGTTGCGTATTTTTGTTAGGGTAGGGTCGAATGTGAGGCTGCATGACGTTATTTGGGGTAGGGTCGAATGTGAGGCTGCGGTAGGGTCGAATGTGAGGTCCGTACCTTTCGATTTGAGCAAGTAATCAACAAACATGGTTGTTTTAATCAATCAAAAATGTGGGTGGGGCTTGATGTAGCCTAAATACGAGATGGGAGACAATCCAGGTTTCTTTGAAAAAAGGCTGAATCTGGCAGTAGCATCGCCAGTAACCACCAGGATCATTGCCATCTTTCGGCCCTTGGCCCGGGGATAACCTAAGATTTTTGACCAAACATGGGCGCTTTGCCAGAACTTGCGGGGATAGAACGCCTGTCGAACGCCTGTCGACTTGATCAAACAGGACCCCAGGTCCAGCAAACATGAAGCACTCAGATTTGAAAGATGGGAAGACTAAGGAAAACTCAGGAAGAACTAAGGACTATGAGATAGCACATGAGCATGTCCAAAAATGGTGCAAAAAAAACAAAGTAGTCATCCGAGTCATCCAAGTCGTCCTCCATTTCGATCCTCCGAACCAAGGTATGAAGCCTATGGCCAAGCACCCAGATGATCCCAGATGCACCCGTCACAAAATGTGTGCTGTTTGACTTGTTTGAGGCCCCATCCAAGTTTCTTTTTCTTAGGCACATCCGGTTTGAAATCTGTTTGAAGTCCAATCCGGTTCCAATCCATGTGAGCTCCATTTTCATTTAGAAAAATGATTGTTGATCTACACAACTGGCGTTGCATAAACATCACCCAGCTAAGGCCCTCTACCGGGCGGGGGTGGCCCCATTTTCTCGCGGGTGACTTCGCCTGGGATGTCCCCGGGAATGTCTCCTGGGATGTCGCCCGTGCCCACGGGTGGGCCAGGGAGGCAACTGGCGGGAAGAAATGTGTGGAATTTTTGGTGCAATAGGATTCACCGTCCCCAACTTTACCATTTTTATGGGTATAAAATAGTATAAAACATGAAAATTGCTTCACTGGGCCCCTGCCTTTGCTGAAAAATGCCATGGGGCCATGGGGGAACATCCCAATCCTGGCTCTGCAACAGCGGTAGAAAAGTCGGGCTTGGATGATCCTTAGTCACCAGCAGAGTCGACATGACAAGCTACGCTTGCAGTGAGATGCTGAGGTTGGACGATTCCAGCGGTTTTCGGATGGTTTTTGCAAGCTCAAAACCAAAAATGTATGGTGACGTTCAAAAAGATGGCACTGACAGAACTGATAACTAGAATGGCGAGGAAGAATCGTATAAACCACTCCATTATTTTTTTCTGGATGTTGAGCCATGAACAAAAAAAACGAGAATAGTCAGAATCGTCTTATTTTGCGAATTTTTCGTACCGCGATACTTGGGCTATGCCGGGCCATGGCCCCTTTCGGCCCTTTCGCCAATGCTTGGAGGTGCTCTAGTCTGGAGATGTCTGGAGATTCAGCAAAGAGGGATGTGGCAATGGACGAATTGCATCGAATTGCCATTTCTATGCATTTAAATTATTTTAAATTTATATCCATTTATTAATCAAATTTAATCCATCTATAGATGATTTTCCGATGAAAATTGGCTGGTTTTCATTAGTTTGAATTGTCACGTTTGGTTACCAGAGGCTGCAGACCAGAAGTTCACAAAAGGATGCATGTAGGAATGGTTTCTGTCGGTTTCTGGGTAAAATTTAAGAAGTATTTTTTTGTGCAATTGCCAACATCAACTTCTTTATTCATATTCTCTTTGCCAGGTATCTGATGTGTGAAAAATTGGATGCAAAAGTGGCTCGTTCAGAAACTTCGCGACCCGCCACGCAACGGGCCAGGTTCAAGTTCCGAGCTTTCTCCGAATTTCGAGGATTTGTAGGGATGGAATCCAGGTCAACGCGCGAACGTTTGGGTAACTTGGTACCCTCAAATGGCAATGGCAGGGTTTGGGCTTGAACCTTGAAGAGTCAGAGATATGGCAACTGATCAAATACATTGTGCCGAATTTGTGGTTCAATTTTTCGAAGAACTGCTGTGTTGGTTCGTGAATTCCCAATTTTGTTTGGATAAACTCACCCACTTTTCGATGAATCGCAGTGACGTGCGGGTATATCCCATTTTCATCCATTTTCACACACGGATCGGACCCTTAAACCCAGGGAATATCCTCATGAATATTCCCCTCATTGTTGCTGGTTTTATACCGAAATTCGATGACTTCTGCATCCATATGGATGGCGTTCCCATCCTGCCAGGAATATCCATCAACATCTGCTGGTTTCAAAGCGCTTTGGGCAGTTTCCCCATAGCCATTTTCAGACACACCAGTCACCAAACGCAGGATGATCTGCAGCTGATCCTCCAGCAAGTTGCCTCAGGCACGAAGTCCCAGAAATTGAGCACCAAAACATCAACGTGATTTTCAGCAGCAAAAGGGTAGATTTCACAAGAAATTTGGACAAAGTTCTATTTACGAATATATTTATACATATTGTTACTGTTCTATTCCTTTTTTTGTTGACGTAGTTTCACTCAAAGAACAGTGGGCATTGTACAAACAAACCTGGCGCAGGTTTGTACCAATGCCAATGGGTGACATGTGTCTCTTCTTGGTCGATTTTGGCAGAGGTAAACCAATATTTGGTGTATTCCCAAGTTTGAAAACACCCACACCCAGCAGGCCTACAAAACACAAAAGATGGTCCGATTGGGCTTGCCTGAAAATGCTGGGGGGACCCTAAAAGAGATCAACATTTCAATTTCAGGTGGAAAACTGCTGACAAAGACTGATATTTTCATTTGAATTGGACTAGATGACCCTTTTTTCATTGGGTACTCCCAAATCCATGACGCCAGCAGCTTGAGGGCAGCTCTCCCTGCAAGCAGCCGTGGGTTTGGATGCTCAGTTTCGGGCATTTTTCGTATTGACTTATAAATATAGCTGATTTGTGACTCGAGACCTTTCCAGGAAAAATGCTACCCTCTGGTAGACTAACATAACTATGGAAAATATCCATTTTTACTAGGTAAATCAACTATTTCAATGGCAATTTTCAACAGCATTCAACAGCTATGTTAGTCATTACCAGAGGGTAAGATGATTCCCAAAGCCCATGGACGCCGCCCAGGGGTGTTGGAAGAGCCGGAGCCAGATCCAGGCGCATCCATTGAGAAGACGATTGCGGCACCTACACAGGTGGAGTGGTAAAGTGGTGGAAACTGGGGGGATACCTGAGATTTTTCGTATCATTGAACTGGTTGGTGGTTTTAAACACTTTCGTATCTTCAGAATTTGATGAGGATCCGAAGTGACCAAGCCGGTGAATATGTGGAGAACAGATGAGTAATATTCTATGAGAGTGGCAAATGATATGGGAGATATGGGATCAATACTTAAATTTGCAATGCTTGCACAAATGTCCTACAGCTACTAGTAAGGTATCGTGGTATTGTCATGGGATAGAATATATAATCATTTTTTCTGGTCATTTCGCATAAAAGCATTTTCCAAACCCATGGGTCATTTCCAATATCATTGAGTTCATGGATAAACAAATCCTCTTCCGAACACAAGAACTATTTGGGTGTGTCTGAAAATGGGGTATAGTATACCCCCAAAATTACCGTTTTAGTGACCAACCAGCGGATTTACGGGTTTGCCCAACATTTCCAGACACACACACACACACAATAAAGACATAAGATCCATAGTTTCAATGCTTTACTTGGCATTTTTTGGTGGCTAAATACCTCATTTATTGATGGTTCGCAGCCTTGGAAGCTCCTTTTCCATCGCCATCGCTGCAGGTGTCACTTCTGCGGCCCGTGGAGCCCCCACCGGTGACGCCGGTCGTGCTCACGCCAAAGGAGCGTGCAGTGAAGGAGGCGAGGAATTTTTCGCAGGTGGAAAAGCAGGGGTTTAACGGTTTCACCAACAAAAATGGGGAGCTGATTTGACCAGCAGACATAGGTAGGTTATCAAGAGAAGATCAGCAGAAATAGCCAAATGAGCAACAAACATATTGTGATTTAACCAGCAACACTTCGTATTTTGATCCAAAAGAATGGGGCATTGAACCCATCGAGACAGCAACGAGTGACGTGGGATCTGGTGGGTTTTGAGCCACCACTGCCACGAAAAACCCGGCTAAATACAATCCACCCCGTTGCAGATCTTTTCAAAAAAGACTTCCCCAAAAAGCATCAAAAAGCAACGTACATATAGAGCAGTAAATCTTTATCAAGTTGATTATGATTTACTGTTTGTTGATGATGATGTACTGATTTGATGGTGATTTACTAATTTAATCTTTACTAATTTGTTTCCCATAAATCATCCAGCCATTTCCGGGGTGCCACAGGTGAAAGGCCCAGCCCCGGTGCTCACAGAGGCGTACGAGGTGCTTGGGGAACTTCACATCACTTATAGGAACCCCCAAAAAGGATGCAGAAGAGTGGGATTTTAGTGGGATTATCACTATTTTAGTAGGAATTTACCAAATTCTATCTTCTTGAGGGTTGCAATAACTGAACCTCGGATGATTTCATCAACAAAACTGTTTTGTTTTTCCTTTCCGACCATCAAAATGGTAAGTAGTTTGATCGAGTTGAACATGAAGATTGAACTAACCTAGGGTTGGAAAATGTTGGAGAAACCAATCAGAAATTTTTCAGGTGTGAGATGATTTTAGCCGGAAAGAAATAGCTGTGATGGTCCCAAATTCGAAACCAACCCATGGCTCCTTCAACAGGATGTGGATCCAGACTGCAAGGGCTGCGGCGTCCGCAAGATGCAGCTCAAGGCGCAGAGTTGCAAAGCGGATGGGGCAATCAGATGGGGTCGGATGGGGAGAAACATCATGATGATTCATGTGGGTAAAACATGAACCATCCCCTAAATTTACACTAGGTATAAACTGTATAAACCATTCCCAAATGGGTGGTTAATAGTGTTTTACCCACATTATAGGAAGAACAATACTTGAACAATAAGAATCATAGCATGAATGACCTTAGGGACAGTAGTAGTAATGACCGAGAATGACAAAACAACAATCATGGATATTATTTTTCTGGAAAAAATTGGCCAATCATCATCCCTTAAAATATTGGAAAACGGTTCTAAACATTGATAAACGCACATCAGGACGTCCATTGATCGTCCCCAAAATGGTCCCCTTGCGCCGCAAGGCGATGGCGAAGCAACTGGTTTCGCTGAGCGAATCTGTGATGCCGCTGGCTCAGCGATGCGGATGCTGGGGATGGGCGGGGTATGGCTCAGACACCCAGCCGTGAATTCATTTTTGGTAAGGGCAGTGGTTTTTTGATAATGGTACGAGTATGTAAAATTGTGATTTTCGATGGATTTTAAGCGTTGTCACTGATGCGAAATCAAATTACAAGGCTTCGATACATGGTTTTGTGAGTGAAAATCGGGGTTCTGACACCCTGAACATTCCATCCATTCTCTAATTTGGTATGCTATCTTGTGGCTTTGAAGGGGTCAGTGGTTTATCCGTTATCTCCCAATTTTTTTGGCTGTTTAGTGCTGTCTAACTTTTCTTGCCATGTTTTGCTCAGTGTCAGGAAGCTGGCGGGAGAGGTGACTTCATCACAGGACGCGAGTTGGCTATGGATCCAAAACTATTGTAATCCCCGTTTTTTTTTTTCTGGCGTCCTCATCATGATTTCCGTTTTTTTTCATGGCCATCAAATTGTGGAATATATCCAAACCTCCCTGGTGAATCGGGTTCTTGTTGGTGAAACCTCTGAAAACCGAATGGGGGATACCTACCGTAGCCTACCATCCATGGCAATTGAAATTGGGGAACACTCATGTTTTGAAGAAAAACGGATGGAATCTGTATTTCTCCTATTAGCAAAGCTCGTTTTTTTTTTGGTTTTTCTGCCATCTGACATCTCAACGGAGGAGTTGGCCCTGATGGTGCTCAGCTGTTTGTCACCCTGTTCCCATCTGGAGCTGTCCATAGGTGACCATGGTGGATCTGGGGACATGGTTTCGCCATGAAACTTCTGGTGGCTTGGAAAACATGATGTAATACATGGGTTTTCTGTAAATATATGTAAATATTTTCTGTAGACCATGATGTTTTTTTAATGATCAACGGTAGAGGTTGAAATTGTGACTGGATCAAGTGACCCATGCAAGATGATTCCGGTCTTAAGAAACACCAAATGGCAGGCTAGTGTTTATTTTTTGTTTGCGTGGACACAACTTTTGGCACTCCACAATTTCACAATTTTAGGATTTTAGGATTTCAGGATTCCAATCTTTGGGCTGTGCCCTCAATATCTTTGTGCGTCGCCACATTTTTCGGATGATCCCAACGCCGAAGGTTTCAGACTGCACGTTCTGCACGTTCCAGGGAGGTTTCTGCAGGGGAAAACCCCTTATTTTCTGTGGGAAAACAGCACTTGAAGCATGGTTTCCAGTAACGTGGGAAGCCCAATAATAGACCCTACCATTAGGGAATGACTATTTATACCCATGAAAATGATGATTTTGGGGATGGTTTATGGCATTGGGTGAATCCCACGTTGTAACTTTCCCTCCGCAAATGATGGGCGATGCTGCACAGCCCTGGGTGCAGGCACCTGCTGTGCTTCTCTGCAGTCCTTGCTCAGTTCTAAGGTGCAATTCTCCGAGTAGATTTAGGTGGAGAGGATTCAAAACGTTGACATAGAATGACATGGAGGGAAGTGGTGTGCAAGTCATGCTTTTGTCTGCCGGATCCCAACAAAAGCATCATGATTCTGCAGAGCCTAGACAGACTTTTTTGGAGCTGGTGACTGAAGCCTGTGGAAGCTCCCAGGATTGGCAGCAGGAAAACTGGAAAGCTATAGTATCACTACTGTGATGACTCGGCTTCACATTCTTTTTTTGCACACAACAATTTCAAACAGACTGACACAGTAGATGATAGCAATTAATGAAACATGCGTTTTCAAATTAAAATTGCTGTGATGCTTTGGGCTTGAGACTTCTGACATTCACATCCTGATGTCGCCAGGGGCAGCAAACTTCAATCAGACCGAAAGCTGAGACGAAACAGGCTGAGGCACGGAGAAGTTGCAGCAAAGGTGGATATTAAAGAATTGGATCCCCCAACGGTTTGCTTTACTTGAAGTACACCTGGAAGTTCTGGAAGTGGAATTTCCTCCAAGTTTCACGAGAAAGACAACAGATATTATTTCTACACCTGTTTACAGAATTCCACTGAATGAGTTTTTAGGTGGGTCAGAAAAAAGATCATGTTCTCTGGGTTTTGGAGCACATTCTTGGCATGGGTCGGTTTAAACACTATCCTTACACCTGTTGGTCGTTCATTACATATTCTTTGAAAGCGAGAAGTTATCACTTTGCTTCCGAACCAGAATTTCATGTGAGATTGTCACACCCATGTTTTTTTTTAAGGTTTTTGGATACACACATTTCTATATCACCCCTTTTATTTTGACCATACGGATTGAAACGGCGAATCACGGGCAGGTGAGCGTTCTGGACGCTGGCCCTTTGCCTCCAAGCACCAGCCTGTACCTTCGATGAAGGAGGATTTACAGGGGATGTGAGAAAAAAAAACAATACAACATATTGAGTTTATGTATACGGTATACCAGAATCTGAATGAATATGGATACTTAATGCCGAAAATGGGTATTGATTGGCTTTTAATTGGTGTGGGGCCGGTGTGGGGGTTGTATTTGAGCTTTTGGAGGATTTTGAGGGGAGTATGATATATAGCAACCGCGCCAACGCGCCCGACACATTTGCTTGGTACAGAAATGGAAGAGATTGGCTGCGCATGGCAAGCATCAAAAAATGATACATAGCAAACAGAAGTGGGGATATTTCCTTACATCGTGAACCAAGCGGACATGAACCAACAAAATATGGAAACTCGATTTCCAAACTTGGAAGTATCCCCTAAACATGCTGGTTATCTCTTTATGCTTTTTACCTGTCACCGGCATCATGATTCAAAATGCCCGCTTGAAACCATCGCGCATCAGCTTGTTTGGTGGTCAATTTGCGGCTGGTACTGGGCATCGTCAGATGCTGTTTCACCAGCGAAGAATTCGATGGGTTGAATCAACTTGTGGACCATATCCATTCCTCGGCTTGTCATTGTGACTCAATGTCTGCAATGTCTGCCAGGTGTGAACCAATTTAATCTATTTCTGTTGATTTCGTTTATCACCAGCTGGAACATGAGAGAAAAGCTCCTGACTTGCTTGTTCCCGTTGCCAATGCTCTGCCCCAGTGTCATTTGACAAGAGAAACATCTGGGACCTTGGGCCGTCCTCATATGGTACCGCACAGTGGGTTGAAGTTCAGACTCATCCCCGATTTGCTGCCAATGTTCTGATGTATCCATGCTTCAACTTGGAAGATCAATGCTTGAGTGGCACCAACGAGCACCAGGTTGTAAGGAAAATCGACTGGAATCGATGGTTTGAACGTGTTTCAGCAATACTTATATCAGGATTTTCCTTAATTTTTCCTCTAAACTAAAATAAACTAAGTTCAACTAATTGAAGTAATTCTTAGATCAAAACCACTCCACTTGGACTCTCCACTCTGATTCCTTGTGCTTCCCCAAAGGCCCGAGCCTCTCCGGGCGCCACCTACCCGTGCAACGACGCCTACGGCGTCCTTCCCGGCGCCCGTGGTGGCAAAGCCACGTGCACCGTTTGAAGAGGAGGGACTGGTGCGCTTTCATGAGACGCAGGCGCCGATCCTGGATTTGCTGATGATTCGACGGATTTTTCAATCCACTAGAAACGGGGAAACGTTTTTTTTGAAAGGGGTTGAACAAATCCAAGTCCTGCCAATGCTTTTTTAAAAATGTGACTGTGATCCGTTTCTGGCAGACTTTGTGAAACCTGGAGGTAGATCGGAGTGCCAACCTGGAGGCAGCACGGTCACCGGGAGCCATCAATCTCAAGGTTATGACAACATTTGGCGATGTGATCCACTGCCCAAAAAAGGTTAGCTGGTTTTCGGCCAGCCTTGTGTGCCCAACACCGTGAAAAATCACTACAATCCATCATTCTTTTGGTTGAAACCATCATGTTGTGCTGGTGCTGGTTCACATGTTTAATGGTCAAATCACTGTTGTTTCCTTCAAATCACCTTTTGTTTTTCAAACACCTGATTTTCTTGTTGGTTTCACCACGCTTCTGTTGGGCATACCCAGTTTTTGCCGTTTCAGTCCGCTAAAGCACTTTCGTTGCTTCAAATCATGTGGTAAAATCCCCCAAGTTCCCACTTATTTTGGGTGCCCAGGTTGAATCACAATGGGAAAAATATGGAAAAATATGGAAAAATGCTTCTAAAGTTGATAAACCAAGCATTTTTCCATATTTTTTCCATATTTTTCCCATGTCCTCCATGACTTGCCGTGGCTTGCCCCACGGCTTCGAAACCGCACTCCGCCAGGCCTTGAAGGCTCCGAGCCATGCTCCGGCGCCGCAGCTGCTGCGCATGCCGGAGCTGGGGCCCAACAGGAGGGAAATCGTTGGGGATTTCAGCCACATTTTCCACAAGTTTGAGTGTTGGATATAGTGAAAGTTCCTAGTGTTGGATATAGTGAAAATCAACATATTCCGAGTGTTGGATATAGTGAAAATCAACTATATATTATTGGAATGCTGTATAATGTATAATGTGTTATATATATAGCTCATACAATGTTAATGTATAATATAGAGTTAATGGATGACTGGATTAATGTAAATATAACATATTATCTTAATATATTCCTAAGGTCGTTGGATATAGTTCATGTATAGTTAATATAGAATATATTATGAATATCAACATTTGCAACAATTGTCGGATACATATATTACATTATATTATGTTGATGTAGAAATATATTGTTGGGATATGCTGCTACATTGTTTATATTCATGAATATCTGTATCTTTCAGCAATATTTTTCTCGTTGGTTTAATGGTTTGTTACCTGTGATTACAGCAATATTTGAAAAATATCACAGATGATTCTTTTGAGTTCATAAACTTTAATATGGCTACATGTGATATTACAGCAATATGAAATTGGGATATTCATGTGATATTTCACCAACCATACAGTACAACAGTGTACTATGTTTATAGAATATAAACTTATATATAACAATGATGATATAGCCAACAGCTACTAAAATTGTTAACATTTAATGTAATGGTCAAATTTGCGAACCGTTTTTGTCGGGGCTTGAAAGTTTTTTTTTGACTTTCAGTGGCTCAGCTACTTGGTTGATAAAATTCCCAACTTTTCCTGACAGATAGCTGCGGATAGCTGGCACTTGGTTGAGTATTGGTTCTATGATAATTTCTACCCTCTGGTAATGGAAAATCACCATGCTATTCATGGGAAAATCCACTATTTCTATGGCCATTTTCAATAGCGAACTGTTAGTCATTACCAGGTTGGGTAACTATTATTAACCATAGATTATCCATATATTAACCATGGATTATCCATATATTTACCATATTTGTTGCCAGGATGGTCCCCCATATCCCGTGGTGTCCCAATTTCTATGTTCTTTTTTGATCTTCCTGGGTGAACGTTGGGAATCGCCATTTGGGATGCCAGACTCGACTCCTATCCGATCGCGAGTCCTCGACTTCGGGCGACGCCGGCGACGCCCTACGAGCAGATGATGACTGCCGGGATCACGCGACGGGAGCCGGCCAACGAGGCCACCGAATGATCTCAGAGAAAGACAAAAAAGTTGTGTCCGTTGGGAGCTCCAACTCTACCAGACCGTGGTATTTTCCATGAAAAAAAAAAACCATAGAATTGCCATGTCTGGTTAATTTTCGCATTAACCAACCATTAACCAACCATTAACCAACCATAGAATTGCCAGTCTTCCCCATCATGGCCGCAGGTGCCAGCGCTGGGCTCCAACATGGCAACACCTCGGCAGATGCCGCGGCCGACGCAACGTGACGCCGGTTGTGAATTTTGAGCCATGCCCGGGCATGATCCAACTCATAGATATTCAGAAATGAGATGGTTAATGGTTGGTTGATGGTTGGTTAATGGTTGGTTAATGGTTGGTTAATGGTTGGTTAATGGTTGGTTAATGGTTAGTTAATGGTTGGTTAATGGTTGGTTAATGGTTGGTTAATGGTTGGTTAATGGTTGGTTAATGGTTGGTTAATGGTTGGTTAATGGTTGGTTAATGGTTGGTTAATGGTTGGTTAATGGTTGGTTAATGGTTGGTTGGTGGTTGGTTAATGGTTGGTTAATGGTGGTTAATGGTGGTTAATGGTGGTTAATGGTGGTTGATGGTTGGTTGATGGTTGGTTATGGTTGGTTCATGGTTGGTTAATGGTTGGTTAATGGTTGGTTAATGGTTGGTTAATGGTTGGTTAATGGTTGGTTAATGGTTGGTTAATGGTTGGTTAATGGTTGGTTAATGGTTGGTTAATGGTTGGTTAATGGTTGGTTAATGGTTGGTTAATGGTTGGTTAATGGTTTTAATGGTTGGTTAATGGTTGGTTAATGGTTGGTTAATGGTTGGTTAATGGTTGGTTAATGGTTGGTTAATGGTTGGTTAATGGTTGGTTAATGGTTGGTTAATGGTTGGTTAATGGTTGGTTAATGGTTGGTTAATGGTTGGTTAATGGTTGGTTGATGGTTGGTTGGTGGTTGGTTAATGGTTGGTTAATGGTCGGTTAATGGTCGGTTAATGGTCGGTTAATGGTGGGTTGATGGTTGGTTGATGGTTGGTTGATGGTTGGTTCATGGTTGGTTAATGGTTGGTTAATGGTTGGTTAATGGTTGGTTAATGGTTGGTTAATGGTTGGTTAATGGTTGGTTAATGGTTGGTTCATGGTTGGTTAATGGTTGGTTAATGGTTGGTTAATGGTTGGTTAATGGTTGGTTAATGGTTGGTTAATGGTTGGTTAATGGTTGGTTGATCGTTGGTTAATGTTTGGTTAATGGTTGGTTAATGGTTGGTTAATGGTTGGTTAATGGTTGGTTAATGGTTGGTTAATGGTTGGTTAATGGTTGGTTAATGGTTGGTTAATGGTTGGTTAATGGTTGGTTAATGGTTGGTTAATGGTTGATGGTTGGTTAATGGTTGGTTGATGGTTGGTTAATGGTTGGTTAATGGTTGGTTAATGGTGGTTAATGGTCGGTTAATGGTCGGTTTGTCGGTTATGGTCGGTTAATGGTTGGTTAATGGTTAGTTAATGGTTGGTTAATGGTTGGTTGATGGTTGGTTAATGGTTGGTTAATGGTTGGTTAATGGTTGGTTAATGGTTGGTTGATGGTTGGTTGATGGTTGGTTGATGGTTGGTTGATGGTTGGTTGATGGTTGGTTAATGGTTGGTTGATGGTTGGTTAATGGTTGGTTTGGGTTAATGGTTGGTTGATGGTTGGTTAATGGTTGGTTAATGGTTGTTAATGGGTTAATGGTTGGTGAATGGTTGGTTAATGGTTGGTTAATGGTTGGTTAATGGTTGGTTAATGGTTGGTTAATGGTTGGTTAATGGTTGGTTAATGGTTGGTTAATGGTTGGTTAATGGTTGGTTAATGGTTGGTTAATGGTTGGTTAATGGTTGGTTAATGGATGGTTAATGGTTGGTTAATGGTTGGTTAATGGTTGGTTAATGGTTGGTTAATGGTTGGTTAATGGTTGGTTAATGGTTGGTTGATGGTTGGTTAATGGTTGGTTAATGGTTGGTTGATGGTTGGTTGATGGTTGGTTAATGGTTGGTTAATGGTTGGTTAATGGTTGGTTAATGGTTGGTTAATGGTTGGTTGATGGTTGGTTAATGGTTGGTTAATGGTTGGTTGATGGTTGGTTGATGGTTGGTTAATGATTGGTTAATGGTTGGTTAATGGTTGGTTGATGGTTGGTGAATGGTTGGTTGATGGTTGGTTAATGGTTGGTTAATGGTTGGTTAATGGTTGGTTAATGGTTGGTTAATGGTTGGTTAATGGTTGGTTGATGGTTGGTTAATGGTTGGTTGATGGTTGGTTAATGGTTGGTTGATGGTTGGTTAATGGTTGGTTAATGGTTGGTTAATGGTTGGTTAATGGTTGGTTGATGGTTGGTTAATGGTTGGTTAATGGTTGGTTAATGGTTGGTTAATGGTTGGTTAATGGTTGGTTAATGGTTGGTTAATGGTTGGTTAATGGTTGGTTAATGGTTGGTTAATGGTTGGTTGATGGTTGGTTAATGGTTGGTTAATGGTTGGTTAATGGTTGGTTAATGGTTGGTTAATGGTTGGTTAATGGTTGGTTAATGGTTGGTTAATGGTTGGTTAATGGTTGGTTAATGGTTGGTTAATGGTTGGTTAATGGTTGGTTAATGGTTGGTTAATGGTTGATTAATGGTTGGTTAATGGTTGGTTAATGGTTGGTTAATGGTTGGTTAATGGTTGGTTAATGGTTGGTTAATGGTTGGTTAATGGTTGGTTAATGGTTGGTTGATGGTTGGTTAATGGTTGGTTAATGGTTGGTTAATGGTTGGTTAATGGTTGGTTAATGGTTGGTTAATGGTTGGTTGATGGTTGGTTAATGGTTGGTTGATGGTTGGTTAATGGTTGGTTAATGGTTGGTTGATGGTTGGTTAATGGTTGGTTAATGGTTAATGGTTGGTTAATGGTTGGTTAATGGTTGGTTAATGGTTGGTTAATGGTTGGTTGATGGTTGATGGTTGGTTAATGGTTGGTTAATGGTTGGTTAATGGTTGGTTAATGGTTGGTTGATGGTTGGTTGATGGTTGGTTAATGGTTGGTTGATGGTTGGTTAATGGTTGGTTAATGGTTGGTTGATGGTTGGTTAATGGTTGGTTAATGGTCGGTTAATGGTCGGTTAATGGTCGGTTAATGGTCGGTTAATGGTCGGTTAATGGTTGGTTAATGGTTAGTTAATGGTTGGTTGATGGTTGGTTGATGGTTGGTTGATGGTTGGTTGATGGTTGGTTGATGGTTGGTTGATGGTTGGTTAACGGTTGGTTAATGGTTGGTTAATGGTTGGTTGATGGTTGGTTGATGGTTGGTTGATGGTTGGTTAATGGTTGGTTAATGGTTGGTTGATGGTTGGTTAATGGTTGGTTAATGGTTGGTTGATGGTTGGTTAATGGTTGGTTAATGGTTGGTTAATGGTTGGTTAATGGTTGGTTGATGGTTGGTTAATGGTTGGTTAATGGTTGGTTAATGGTTGGTTAATGGTTGGTTAATGGTTGGTTAATGGTTGGTTAATGGTTGGTTAATGGTTGGTTAATGGTTGGTTAATGGTTGGTTAATGGTTGGCTAATGGTTGGTTAATGGTTGGTTAATGGTTGGTTAATGGTTGGTTGATGGTTGGTTGATGGTTGGTTAATGGTTGGTTAATGGTTGGTTGATGGTTGGTTGATGGTTGGTTAATGGTTGGTTAATGGTTGGTTAGTGGTTGGTTGATGGTTGGTTAATGGTTGGTTGCTGGTTGGTTGATGGTTGGTTGATGGTTGGAGATGTTCTTTTCACGAACTCATTTTTTGAAAGGGATTCAGATTGGACTTATCCGAATCTGGGAAAAACCGGCTCTCAGCAACCCAATGGTCAATTCGGCCCTGCTGCAATCTGCGACTTTGAGGGACTGTTTGTTGGACTGGTGACTGGTGATGTTCCGATGTTGTTGGTCAGATGTTGTCAGTGTTGGTGGATAACTATTGGTGATAGATAACCTGGAATAGCCTTTGAGAAGCAATCTATTGCGACCTTTTCTGACTCGGTGTTGACCGGCTGGCCCGACATTCGCAAAGCCACAGAGCTGCATCCTGCAGGTCAAATCTCCATAGAATTATATAAGTGAAATCTGCTGTTTTTTTGATATATTCTAACATGTCTTGAAATTAAAGTGATAGTGAATCCCACCCTTGCAATCTGTTCCACGGAAATCCATTGAACTTGATCATCTTTCAAGGATTCTTCCATGAAGTCTTGTCAAAGTTTTTATTGAATTCCAAAAACGTATCATGTTTTTCCTATATTTTTCACCGACATATTTCAAAGAAAATGAAGTTTTGGACTTTCCATATGGTTTTTCCATATTTTCTAATTTTCTTCAAGATGCAAAAAGGGATTTTCCCATATGGGTACGGTATGGATGCAAACCAATTATTCCATAGGGGGAGCATCCCAGCAAAATCCCAGCAAACTTGGTGTTCACCAGGATTTCCCATGGTCAAAAACATCCATTACATCTTTTTGTTGTTGGTTACATCAGTTAAAACCCCCCTAAATTATCCTAAATTCATCGACAATTACAATATAACACCATGCGTATCCCCCTCTACTATACATCATCCCATAACAGTTGGACAGTTGGGTTATTTAAATCTCGGTAAATCCAATCAAACCTATATTCAATCCCATTAGACCATATTCAACCATGGTTATATATTGCAGTACGTCGCGTGATTTTGCAGTACGTCGCGTGATTGTTGGTAAAATTCCATCAAACTATATCAACATCCCATTATATATATATTTAAATCATTCTTGTAGGTTAAATCCAATGAACATCCCATTCAAATCCCATATTTTTCCCCATAATTTTCCATTAAAATCCCATATATATGTTTTTCAAACTTTTCCATTACAAATGCCATATTCTCCCCATTTCCAGATCTCAGGTGCCGACCTCTTGGACGAGCCTCCACAGCTGCCGGCGGAGTTGCTGGCCTTCGCCGCGCCGGGCGTGGTGCCCGGGGCGGCGGGCTTCAGCCCGCGGACGCCGGCGGAGCGGCTGCGGCCGCACCAGAGGAGGGGTTGGGGGTTGGTGGGTGGAAACATGTTGATGTTTGATGGATGTTTGATGGATGTTCTATGGATTGTTGATGTTTGATGTTTGACGGATTTCTCTGGAAAAATGTTTTTTTTTCTATGTTTGATGGATGTTCTATGGGATTTCGATGGGTTTTTCACGATTTTCTGGCTTTGTGAAGCCTGGTTGGTAATGGAAGAAGCAATGAAGATTTCAGAAGTCTTGAGATTGACATCTGTAAAGGAGGAATTTAACTGACTAGTGGGTTGGACGCTAATATTACTGAGGACACCCCCTGTCTATAACTGAGTGAACTAAGTATGGCTATGAACCAGGCAGTAATTGGGATGCACATCCGGAGGGTCCGCCGATTATGAACCAGGCAAATTACACTGACATCAAACGCCGGTAAGGGAAATAAATTTTGGGACTTATAATATCTTATAATCATTTGCCCAGACCTATGGTGACCAACCGAAGATGCAATCCATAAAACCATGACATAACATGGATGTGGGAATCTCAGAGAACTAGGATGCGACTGTCAGTCCCAGCTGGGGCCCCTGGGTGGAGCGACAACGTTGCATCGATTAATGGCTGAGGAATGTTCAGGGCACTGCTGGGCACTCCTATCCGCCCAATAGGAAGAAAAACAAAGGACCCTACCATTTGTTGAACAGACAACGTTGCCACAGTTGCCACTGGTTTTATTACATGGTTGATGAAGAAAGTCGGGTGTACATGGCCAGATGAAGAGAAAGCTGCTAGCCCGCAGATCGAACAACCAATAGGTGAGCAGATAGTACCAATCCAACCGCCCCATTTTGTTACACTCAATTCTAAGAAGGATTTCAGAGACTGGCAGTACTTACAAGTGCGAAGGGATATTTGGAGATCCATGTGATTGAATGGTAAATCCATGATTGATAGGGGTCTTAGGTGGAGGGGTCAAAGGGTATGGGGGAAACTAGAATTTGCTCAAGGTTGCTCATGGATTTGGGGCATGAGAGGTTTAGGGGCAATGGTGAGACCCAAAGAGTTTCAATGAGACTTATTGAATCTTAATGAAGCTTTTTGAGCCTCTTTTGAGGACTATATATCCATTTAGAAAGGGATACTTCTTATCGGGGATGAACCAACAATGATGAGGAGATTATTACATAAGTGCTTTGGAAGGATTGGGTGCAGGTCCTCAGCATGTTTTCTGGCCCCGCTGACCAATCTGGCCATCTGCTGTCAGGAAGGAATGGGAAGATCTGTCTCCTGAAAAACCTCAGGGTCCGCAGAGAAATCTGGTTGCGCCAGCAAAAGTACCAGAAAATGGCATCACTGATGACCCGCAGGTTGCCAAGAGCACTTCTGAAAATTCCAAAGGTTCCTCCCAGACGCAAAGCCAAGATGAACAGCAAACTCAAAAAATGCTTGCTGGGCCACAGCGTCCAGCACAACCGGTAGCTGGAGAACAGCAACCCCAGCAATCACCTGCTAGGTCCAAGGGTCCCGCACAACCAGCAGCAGCTGGACAGCAAGCGCAGCAATCACCTGCTCGATCCCAAAGTGCAGCACAACCAGCAGCAGCTGGACAGCAAGCGCAGCAATCACCTGCTCGATCCCAAAGTGCAGCACAACCAGCAGCGGGCGGACAGAAGGCGCAGCAGTCCAAGAGCCCTGCAACTGGTGGACAGCAAGCGCAGAAATCACCACAACCTGCAGCTGGTGGACAGCAAGCGCAGCAATCACCTGCTCGGTCCAAGAGCCCAGCACAACCCACAGCTGGACAACAAACCCAGCAAGCACCTGCTAGGGCCAAGAGCCCAGCACAACTAGCAGCTGATGGACAGAAAACCCAGCAATCACCTGCAGCTGGACAACAAACCCAGCAAGCACCTACTAGGTCCAAGAGCCCAACACAACCCCCAGCTGGGCAACAAACCCAGCAAGCACCTGCTAGGTCCAAGAGCCCAGCACAACCAGCAGCTGGCGGAAAGCAAGCCCAGCAATCACCTGCTCGGTCCAAGAGCCCAGCACAACCAGGAGCTGGTGGACAGCAAGCCCAGCAATCACCTCGGTCCAAAAGCCCGGCACAACCCGCAGCTGATGGACAGCAAGGCCAGCAAGCACCTCGGTCCAAAAGCCCGGCACAACCCGCAGCTGATGGACAGCAAGGCCAGCAAGCACCTCGGTCCAAAAGCCCGGCACAACCCGCAGCTGATGGACAGCAAGGCCAGCAAGCACCTGCTCGGTCCAAAAGCCCGGCACAACCCGCAGCTGATGGACAGCAAGGCCAGCAAGCACCTGCTCGGTCCAAAAGCCCGGCACAACCCGCAGCTGATGGACAGCAAGGCCAGCAAGCACCTCGGTCCAAAAGCCCGGCACAACCCGCAGCTGATGGACAGCAAGGCCAGCAAGCACCTCGGTCCAAAAGCCCGGCACAACCCGCAGCTGATGGACAGCAAGGCCAGCAATCAGCTAGGTCGAATAGTGCAGCACAGCCAGCTTCCACTGTGGGTGAACCGGAGAAGCAGTCGGCATTCGTTCGATCCAGAAGTCCGCCACCACCAGTCACTGAAAAGCCTTCTACCTCTGCCCGACCAGAAAGGTCCAGAAGCCCAGCTGTCGCAGGAGCAGCCGCTGGAAGCGAAGATCCTTGGGCTCAAAATGCTAGGAAAGGAAACCAAGGGACGTGTTTAGGCCAGAAGAAAATGGATATCAATAACCTACCGAATGGGCTGCCCCTTGGTCACGTTGATTTGGGTAAGTTGTGGTTCAGGAATCCATGGATATACTTGTCTTCAGTATACTATACGATCTAGCCCACTTTTGGTTGATCTGGAACCCCCAAAAAGCAATGCCGCTGAAGAGAAATATTCCCCAACTTCTCGAGTACTTGGGAAGTGTCAGCCAATTCGATGTCACATTCTTGGCTGGAACATGCACAGCAGGTGATTTTTTGGTGAAGGACATTTATTGGAGGTTACTTTTCTTCGTTTTCATCATGGTAGTACTCCAGTCTTTGTTGGTCACATGCCCATTTTTGATTGGATTCTATCGTCTTTTCTAAAGCAATTTCACCATTTTTGAGGTGGTTATTTCTCCAAGTTGTTTCCACGAAATTGATAGTTTCTCCTGTACATTCACCAATTCACCGTCTTTTTTGGGGCGGTGCGCCATTTTCGGAAACACATCCAGAGTTTCACGGCCTTCTGATGACTTTCCAACACTTAACTGAAGTATGTTTCACTTGGAAATCCATCCTATTCATTCCAATTCCTCGTTTTTTTATGTTTTTTTTGGGGAAAATGTGGGTCACTTCCCCAGATTTGAAGGTCTCCCATCCCGAGGCGCCCGAGGCGCCCGAGGCGCCCGCGTCGCCCGCGTCGCCCGCGTCGCCGCCGCCAGAGTCCTCCAGTGGCAGCGCGTCGTCGTCCAGCGCGTCGACGTCCAGCGAGGGAGCGCCAGCGAAGGCGGAGGCAGGAGTTGGGGAGTGGATTGGGATTTTTCTTGCCTCTGAAATGGGTAATAACTATGGTAAACCAATAAGAATTACCAATGACCAATGGAAAATCGACTATGAATCCATCACCCTCTTATTGGTAATTCTTAATGGGTAATAACTATGGTAACCATAAATAATGTAAACTATGGAAAATCCCCATCTAAATGGTAAACTGGTAAACGTTTACATAGCGAACTGGATTGGTAATAACTATTTCATACCATTACCCTCTGGTAAACGTTTACATAGCGAACTGGAAAATCCCCATCTTTAATGAATCAACTATTTCGACTGGGCCATTTTCAATAGCTACTTTAAATTACCAGAGGGTAATGGATTCATCAACCATCTTTAACTAATGGATTGCCAGTGGATGATTAATTATACAATGGTTACATATACTTAATTATTGGATTGTCCTGTCATTATATATGATGAGATTATATAATGGTTGTTGCATTCAGATTATTGGATTAGATATGATTATATCATGGATGATTTTATAATGCATGAAAACTCCCGACTCATATATATTAATATATATATATACATATTTAATAATGTATGCTTAATTATAGTGAATGATTAGTTATAATTATGGGATTGATTTCTATAATGAGGATTTTACAATTTCCGAATCAATGGATGGCAATTCCGGATTTGGAATAGATTGAAGTAATTTTCAATTATTATTGTTACTATCCCATATTTTTCTTGATGGGGACCAATGTTTTGGACGGTATCATTTTGGGAGATTTGACTATAACTAGTAACTAATCAATGGGGATTCAACTTGGAAACATGGGTGATTTTTGCTGGGGATATAGCCAATGTTGCCTCAATCAATCCATGTTTTGTGGGGAAAAAAAGGGAGTTGACGGCATTTGAACATAGCATTGTTAATTGACTAGTTTTGGGGGGTTGTAACTCCTATTTTTTGCAAAAATCAAACTACCTAATGATGCGCCGGAGGAAAATCGCGGAGCCATTTCTTTTGTTTGTTGCCCCCAATGGGTGATCTAACCATCACCAAACATGTTGAAGTCCTGGGAAGATCAAGCAACCAGGAAGATTTAAGCTGGAAACCCATGGTATCTCAACAAGCATGCGAAATGATAGGCTTGCATTGATGGAGATATTGTGGGCGAATTTCGAATTCACTTCAATATATATATATATATATGCTTCAGGAGGAACAAAGTTTATGCTTCTTGTAAGCGTTAGGAAACGTCCATCTCGGTCACCCGCGGATCACATTTCCAAGTCCATTTCGTGTGGCAGGTGTGGGACGGTCAATTATCACCCTCTTTTAAATCTATAAGATTTAAAAGCATTTGGAGGGTGGAAATGCGACCGGGGTACGACACAGCTCCATGCTAGGATTCTAAGGGGAAAGGGTGTTCAGAAGAAGAACTCACACATGTTCACTGTCGGCAGCTCAACAAGCGCAACTTTTGTCCTACCTACCAGTGCGTCACGGCACAGGTGTAGCATTGCCAGCAAAGAGGATGGGCGTTTTCCCAAAATCCTCAATCGACAAGAGGCACATTAGCCAGAGGATGCAGCACCACCTTTACGGACTACCTCCCGGCAGGTTTTGATGTAGCCTTTGGCGATCCGCTTCGCCGCATTTTGTGCATGCGCGGACTTCAGCAGATTCTTGATTCTGGTTTTGTAAGCCCACTTGCCAATCCACGGCCTCTTCTTCAATGCATCCTGCAGATCCAAGTAATTCAGCCGCTTGCGCAAGTATGACCAGAATCTTTCGATGGGATTTAAATCCGGTGATTTGGCAGGAATTCTCCACAAATGTATTTTGGCCTTCCGGTACGCTGCGCGACAATCACTTGATACCAAGAAGGCCTCATTATCGCAAAGCACATGCCACGGCCCATCCTTTTTGACCGGGCGTAGGCTCTTGATTGCAGACGCCACCTTTCCAGCTTGCAAGACACGGATCCACTCAGCCTTGGTGAGCTTCTTCTTTGCATGGAAGACTACTGTTGCGAAACCTCCTTCGCTCAAGCCACCCCACAGCGGGATGCATCTATCCAAGGGGCTCTGCTTTGCGAAGCAATCCTGCCCCGCCAGAGAAGGCTCTAGCCTTTCTGACTTCAATCGCCACATGTGGGTTTGGCCAGAGTGAAGGTAGTTAAGCCTCTCAGTCAGATTTTTGGGAGGCATGGTTAGGACGCAGCCATCCATGGAGAAAGACAACTTCTGCCGCAGCCGACACGGCCCGAGTGCCACGACAGCTTCGGCAAATGCCTTCCTCTCGCTCATTTGCTGGGGAGTGTACTTGCGCTTTTGCCCTCGAGGTAGCCATCTGTAGCCTTGTGCCTGCAAGAACTTGCGGATTGTACTTTGATCAACTGCTACACCACGGGCCCGGGCCAGCTCAGCTTGCAAAGACTTTGTGGTGCACATCCCTTGCTTTCTCATCCTCCGCAGGGAGCGCAACACAAATCCTTGCGTGGCTGTTGTCAGCTTCCAAGGCCGACGGCCACAATTGTTGTAAGCAGTTTTTTTCCTGCCACGTGACACAGAAAATTGCTTGTAGTACTGACAGCAAGTCCTTGGAGATGGCTGCTTGCCAGCCAAATTTTTCACTTGGGCAGCTATGTCCACAAATGATAAGCCTTGCACATCCCGCAGAATCACCACTTTGCGTTGGTTCTGGAAATCCAATCCTCGAGGGTGAATGTTTTCACATACCAAAACCATGGCTGGGAGTGTCTGCGTTTATAGCAAGCTCTTGGTGGTCTGAGCCAAGGGAACAGCGATGCGCAACATGCTCAACAGCCCCAGATGGAGATGTGTCGGCCACGGCCTCCACAAGTCCAGTTCCCAGAGGTGCCTCACATGTTCCGACTGTAGCCCCCTCAACCCATTCATTCAGGTGTGCCACTGTGTGAAACCCACTGTATGATGTGCATGAATGACGGCGTGGAACCTGTGGAGAACAATGGAAGGCAGACGTGCAAGATGCTCAGCAGCTGTGAAACCCAATGCCCTTGTTTCTTCATGACAGTGTGTGATTTGCGGAGGTCCAATTGCAGGCTACAGGGAAAGACAGACGTGCAAGATGCGCAGAAGCCACAGATGGAGATGTGTCGGCCAGTCAGTCAGCTGTGTGACAGAAAGTTGCAACAGTGCGTTAGCTACGGGTGGCGCATGCGTTGTACCCCGGGCTAGATAGGTAATTCCAGGCTATACCCGTGTATCCCAGACACTGGCAGCAGAAACCCTGGACACTCAGACCCCAGCTTTTTCCAAGCACATTGACTGTTGTTGGCATTGACACCAGAACCGCTTGAATGACTGCATGTGGCCTAAGGGGAGGCTGGCGGCCATTCAACCACAACACGATTTTGTGGTTTACTGAGCCAGTCATTGGCCTCTAAGTAACCTCGGTTCTTAGTGGTGTAATTGATGGTCACCACTGTGGGAACTTTGAACAAATATTTGGTATAGAAGCAAGTACCTCCCTGCGTGGTTGCGAATTCAATGCGACTGTCATACTTGCCCTGAACCTTCTCCTGGTGCGAAACCAAGAAGTCAAGGTCCCGGACGTCATCAAGGATGAGGGCATCGTGCACCCCTCACTTGAATTCAACCATCTTCGCAGGGAAGACCTCGCTGCTGCCCACCTTCAACTCAAGCGGCTTCTGGAAGAGGCTCTTGGCGTACTCGGTCTTCCCAGACGCGGATGCCCCAACCAAAATGAGAAGAGGATACCTCAACAAGTCAGTCTTGAAGTGCTCCAGCCAAGCTGACACAGCTGGCACAGGTGGGAATGGCTTGTAAACTGCCGGATTGGAGCGGATCCGCTTCACTGTCGCGGCAATTTCAGCTTCCTCAGCCTGCGCTTCTGACCATGCTTTGCATGCATCCAAGTTCCTCTTGCGGGCTTGGACACCATCGCGGGTCAGAAAAAGGTATTCTTCATACGTGGCATGGTCGAGCTTGTAATGCTTCCAAAGAGCCTCCGGCCACTTCCCTTGTACCCGGTATGTGGCCGCACCATCTTGGCTGCACCACGCCGGCACGTAGTTCCCGGTGACGCACTCATGCCCACCTTCATCAACCACAGTGCCTAGCTTCTTGGCGAAGACATAGAAGAACCCACGATCGATGCTCTGTTGTGGGTTTCGCCGACCAACACCTTCGCCCAAGTAATCATGGGCGCTGACATTGGGATTGATGCCTTCAAAGGCAAACGCGCGGCTGCTTCGGTCTTGCTTCACCCAGAACTGCAGCATAAGGTGCGCATGCAAGCGGCCAGACTTGCAGGTCTCCAAAGTGGCACACCAATACTTCACATTCCAAGCAGACACGTTGGCTTTCACACAGTTGGCAAACCTGCGCCATTGGTCCAAGGAGGTGAAGGACTGATAGGTGAGCAGCACCGCGGAACATTCAATGCGGTACACTGCTTCGTTGCTCGCTGGTCTGCCTTGGGGGCCCTTGTGGTTCAAAGCCTGTTCCCACGAGACCTTTGCAGCACGTAGCCTTGTCAAAGCCTCACCATCGGTGCGGCCCCGTGCTTTGCGTAGAACTGTGCCATACGCTGCACGCAGGCATGGTGGGTCTGAATCTCTGCTAACGCTTGGCTCCACGTTCAGGACGGCTGCCACCGCTAGAAGGGCGGACACCAATGCGCGCTGACAGAGTTGCAGATGCGACACCATGGCGACAATGAACAAGGAAAGGATGCTGCACGGCAATGCTCTCAAGCCAGAGGAGACAAGCAGGTTATATTGCGTGGAGCAGTGATGAAGATGAGGCAAGTGCAAAAGTCAGCATCCGACGTTGAAATTCCCACTAAATAAGCTTTTTGTACTCTTCAGGAGGAACAAAGTTTATGCTTCTTGTAAGCGTCAGGAAACGTCCATCTCGGTCACCCGCGGATCACATTTCCAAGTCCATTTCGTGTGGCAGGTGTGGGACGGTCAATTATCACCCTCTTTTAAATCTATAAGATTTAAAAGCATTTGGAGGGTGGAAATGCGACCGGGGTACGACGCAGCTCCATGCTAGGATTCTAAGGGGAAAGGGTGTTCAGAAGAAGAACTCACACACGTTCACTGTCGGCAGCTCAACAAGCGCAACTTTTGTCCTACCAGTGTATAACTGCGAGGAGGGCCCATGAAATCTTCACCCAGGCACTGTTGAAATTCTCTGAATTCTTCTCTACAAGCTCTCTCTTTGAAGAACAGTGAGCACATATAACTCTATATATATATAATACTATATATATAATACTATATATATAATACTATATATATATAATACTATATATATATATAATACTATATATATATAATACTATATATATATACATATATATATATATAGTAATATGTAGTATACATTTACCAGATATTACCAGATACAATTTTCTACCGATTGCTTCGCAATGATATCAATGGCATAGTGCTAAAAGCAGCACCTGACATGGCCAGGTGCTTCAACGCAGCACCACCGGAAGTTTGCCCGTGCCCTCCCGTCCACTGCGGGGGTCCAACGGGTCCAACGGGTCCAACGGGTCCAATGCTGCACTGCCCGCAAGGGCCGGCAGTCTGCGATTGCCGGCCAGGGCAGGAAGTTTACACTTTGGATCACAGAAACCAAGATGACAGGAATGGGATCCCAGGAATTTTCCACCGAATCTCGGGAAGATGTGGGAAGATGTGGGAAGATGTGGGAAGATGTGGGAAGGAAAAACTACCAACTTGGGCTGCAAGCGAAGATTCCTGGGATGGTCATTCGAGTGACTCAGAGTTGCTAATGTGAACAGAGCCCGCGTGTCACCCTGAAGGGGTGCCTGGCGTGGCGACAGGTGCGTTCCTGCCAACGTTTTCAAAAAGTGTCTGGCTGTGCGGCGATGGTTTGGTCCAACTCTGGAGTACGACAATTTTACAAGGGCAACAAACAAATTTTACCATCTGGTTATGACTAACATAGCCATGGAAAATCACCATTTTTAATAGGTAAACCATAAATGGGCCATTTTCCATGGCTATGTTAAATAACCAGAGGGTAAATGGGTAATTTTAAGAGGCCACAATGACATTAGCAAGTTCCAACGGCTCCATCGCACCTTCTCCAATCCTTGGTTTTTGGGATCTGCTGTTGGGCAAAATCAGAGACCTTTTCGTTGGCGGCAATAAAGACATGAAACCCTCAGTGGACCGGGTAATTTTCAGTTTTAACCTTCCAAACTTGAGGTTGATTTGAGCCGTGTTCAAAACCCCTATTGGTTGGTCATTACCAGGGATTACCAGGGATTATAGTACCAAAGGTATGCGGGAATATCATAATACTATGGAATTTCCTATTAACCAAGCAGTATGATGGAATGAAAGAGGGCTTTTGAACACTGCTGATTTGTTGAAACTCATAATGTCAACCTGGTTACCCCATTTTTTTTTCAACCCAGGTACTGACGACTTCCCCCTTCTTCGGTGGCCAGGCAGGGGGACTTTTGCGCAGTTGAGTCATGGCAATTGCTCGGGAAAATGGTGAACAAATATCAAACTTAAGGTTTCTGGTTTGCCCGAGCAGTCTCAAACTTGGGGTTTCTGGGTAAAACCACATTGCAACAAGTTGACCCCTTCGCTGGGTTTCGCTTGGTCGAGGTGAAAACCACGATGTTGGTGACCCATTAGGGAAGCTTTGAACAGGTTTGAAATCATAGTAGCTATATCAAACTATATATACATATGTATATATATATGTATATATATATGTATATATATATATATATATGTATATATATATATGTATATATATGTATATATATATGTATATATATATAAATAATTACTATTTTTGATGAACCTTTTCCTCATTCAGGGCGCCCGTCCCGCTGGTCCCGCTGGCACCGCTGGCACCGCTGGCACCGCTGGCACCGCTGGCACCGGCGCGAACACTGCCGCCGGCCCCTCACCGACGGGACGACCGAATGCGCCGCAGAGGCCGCATCAAATGACGGGACGAAGCATTCAGAAAGAGATCCATGGGAAGATTTTCTGGGGCGAAAAATGACATGATGAGTAGCTTGAGATGCCAGTTTATGAGTAGGGCTCTAAGTGTGAGTTTTGGTTTATGGGCAGTTGGGACCACAGATTTTGGTGATTTTTGCTATCAGCAATCTGGAGGAGTATGGTCAGTTGGTTTATATTGTAACTAACATAGCTGCTGTGTGTTATGGATATAATTATCGAACTAGTTGCATAGATGCGTTTGTAACATGATATTTTTCAGGTTCCACTTTCTAGTTACGAAGGGATTTTAAAAGCGAGACATCCCTTTCTACAGGAAAGTCATACGATGATTCAAGCAGCAAAACCTCTAATGAGTTTGGAGATGTTGAGTACATTTCTTTCCACAGAAGTAGTCACATCACAAAGGCTTTGACTGGAAATATTCAAGGGCCAAGAAAAGGTATCTTCATTGGTGGTTTTATTCTTCTGCGTATTCTCCTGACTTGAAATGATGAGGCCCCAAATAACTCGCAGATTTTTGTGACGGGTCAACCAGCGGAGGGACTGGAAGATACTCCGCAGCTGACGGTGGAAGATGTGGGTGCCAAAGTAATCGCCCAACGAAGTTGGATCCAACATTAGATGCATAAACAGTTAGTTACATTTTCAAATCAAATCGCCAAGCCATTTGAAGACATAACATGTGATCCGTTTTTTTGGTTCCATGTAAATAAATAATTAGCCACACGACTTAAAGTCAAACCACAAAGAAATGGGTTGAACCCTTGACATATTTTAGCACAATGCTTTGTCATTGCCAGTTTTTCAAATCCATCCTGGTTTTTCAACAACACACATTTTCCATAGACATTTTTTTTTAAAAACTCATCGACCATGGATTGAAACATCTTGTTGTTTTCCACATTAAACATGTCATTGTTATCTCGCATTGCTGGTGCTGCCGCGGCAGGGATCCTCAGGCTACGTTGCTGGCGGAGTTGGGGTTGGCCTATAGCGGCCTTGAAGGAGCCACCGACACTCAGAGGGTGGGCCTGGAGCAGGTTTTTTTTTGATCTCCATGAAATTCTATGAATTGGATTGGATTTTAGAGATTTTAGCTTTTTGGGGTTGCTATAACCATCAACCCCGTGGGATATGGAAAATCCTCCAGGTAGTTGAGTTCATGTGACAATTTTGAGTGGTATTTCACCGGAGGCAAAATATCATCCACTAAAGAACAACCTTTCTTAACAAAAACCCAAAGGTTCAATTTTACAACTCGGTATTGATTTGTTTGCTCCAAATTTACCATAGGATTTACCTATATACACTTATATATGTATATATTCGTAGGATTTTTCTCCTCTTTTTTTGGTGCCCAAAGAAGAAAACCGCCGCAGGTTTTGATGAGGCCGCCTCCGTGGGACAAGCTCAAATCGGGCAGCACATGTGGGGGACCTGGTGAGGGTTTCCATTGGGGGATCCCCACAGGGCTGGTTTTTTCTTTAATGGAAAGTCCCGAAACAAAAGGAACATGGATGATCTATATAGGGGTACCCCCAAAAACAGAAACCTCCAGATTTTGTCATATCGGTATGGGTTTGGCCCCAGGTCAAAATCATTTTGACCCATAGGCATTTTTATCCATTTTTGGCACATGACAAAAAGAAATATACCAATGGTCATTGATACGGGGATCTATGGTCTTCCATATCTGCGGGTATGAACATGCGCACATCCCAGGAAATTGGAGGTGAACAAAAGGGTACCAACAATTTTGACTCATAGCCATATTGTTTGAGTCATCCCCGCAACGAACACCTTGAACCTGCCATGAGATGGGGGTGATTCTCGTGGTGGATGATATTTTGCGCTTGAGAAAAACACATATGTCATATGTGTATGTATATATATATATATTAAATATACTTATGTGTATGTATATTGTAATTTTATGGTTTGTTCTGCATCAAGAAAAGGTCAAGGGTCAGCCGATCAAACCAAGGAGAACAGTCTCAGACTTAATATGTATATATATATATGGTAACCCTCCCACATATATATATATGTATGATATATATATATATATACACATACACATGTAGCAATGCAGCAAGTTGAAAAATACATCAAAATAACAGTTCAGTTGCCGGGCTTTCTTCAACAATTCGCGACTCACTTTGAACAAAGCGTACATCTTGAGGCAGAGTCAGCTGAAGAACTTGTTGGATGCAGCCGATACGCCGCGCTTGGGCCCCTGGTCTGGTGGGGACACAGGTGGCTGGGACTGGTGGTCCTTGAAGGCCCTGGAGACGATCTGGACTGGAGCACCGAATATCAAATGGATGTCTTCAAAGCCAGTGGGTTAACCAGTACTTTGATAATCTTTGATATACAGTACTTTGATCCTGTCATATCCCGTCCTTTCCTATCACATCACTTGCCGGGTTGACAGGGAGATACCATTGATAATCATTGATATAGATTGATACAGATTGATTCTTTGCCCCGGATGTCTCCAGATCATTCACACTTTCAGTCGGCTTTACACAATGCGTTTGTTGACGGAGTAGTTGGGCTATGGGCTATGGGCGAATGTGGTAGTTCCCAACTCCATGTTCTACGCAAAGGTTCGGCAATTTTATTTTGTGGACATGACCGACACACATCCTTTTGAGTGTCATCCATTCTTAACCCTTCTT